ACCTATGAAAGTACTCATCTTCTTTACCCAGGTCTCGTCTACAGAAAGTACAACACCGTGAAAGGTGCTCGCCCTTTGCGTGGCGTCTTGGCTCCTCTTCAAACATTCCTGCCTTCAGACATGACTTGGCGTCACATCTCGTGAGGAGCTTCTCCTTGAGGCGTGCAGCTGCCTTTCTGTACAAATCTGTAGCGACGGGAGCGTCTGCCTCAACACAAGTTATCGTGTTTGTTTTCACTTTTGTTGCCCCTCTTAAAAACGCAGGTAAGCGTCTAAATCACAAGGTAATTGTTATCCAGCGAGATTGTCACTTAAGCTCCATTATGTGTCTTTGTGGGACACAAGCTGACGACTTAGACAAACAAAATCTGGAGGAATGTGAGTGCGTGGCTTTGAGGGCTGACGCTGGTGGCTTCCTCCTTCTACTTTCATATCTGTGCAGCTTTAACACTCATCTCTCTTTAATCACTCAGACATGAAAGATTTACAGTTGTGCGCCTGCAAGTATTCGCAGGTCTTTTGCCACCATGTTTGCACATGTGCGTTCATCCGTGCGCCCCTGGTGCGATCAGGTCTCTCGCCGAGATCTGCTGGTAGGCGAGCTGTCTGAGAGCGATCGGCCGGAGGAGGGCGTGGCGGCCCGGTGTGTCGAGGCCATGTTTAAAGCACATCTGCTCCTCCTGGACTGGAATGCATCTGAGGCGTGGAGACAATCGAGGTCAGGCCCCGCTCGGAGAAAGAGAAAACACTCAGACAGAGAGGCAAGGGGTAATCCTCGCTCGGCGCGAGCATTCCTCTGAGTCTCAGAGGGTTTCTCATGAGGGATTTCTGCTGCTTCGGATATTTGTGCTGAATTAGTGTTTGACCTACTAAACGGGGCGCTTTCCTCGTGCAACCATCCATCTTTTAGAATCTGCGACCAAATCTTGTCAACCAACAACAGCAAGGTGGCCAGGCATACTCACACGCATCCCTGATGTTGTCAAACTCCAGGCACTCAGCATCTTGTTCGCTTTGGAGGAAAATGTTTCTGATTGTGATGATGTCAGCTCGCACTACCGCATTCTGCAGCAAGTCCAAACATACATCCTGGTATCAAGTTGTGTTAAGTCGGCCCTTGTTGCTGCTGTTCACAAGGCCTGCAAGCATCCGAATCGAAGCAGGATCTGGCCCAGGAACTGCTCGTTCTTTTAAGCATGGGTTAACAACATGACAGTAATTATAAGTGTTTATTTTTGTGGAGTTAAGCGTTATTTTGGCACATGGCGTCCTGAGAAGACAGAGTTTCTTTGTTTGCTCACAGCAGAACCTCATCACATTTCAGCTCGTCAATAATTGATGCTCTGCCGCGGTGAGGCAAGGCTCTCTCCGCCTGGTCCTGGCTCAGTCTGTGTGGGTGGGTGGGGGTGGGTGGGTGTGTGTGTGTGTGTGTGGGTGGGTGTGGGCTAGAGGTGCTGACATGTGGCTTCTGTCTTGCCGCTGGCCCTGCGCTGCAGACGGAGCCCGCTGCAGGAGGCAGGAGGTCAGGAACCAGCTGTGCGCTCGGGTCAGGCCGCTGCGCAGCACCTTCTATGGTGCTCTTCGTGATTAATTGGAGCTGCCTGATGCGCTGGGCCTGACTGAATGGTCACAGATGTGCGAAGGCCCAACCTTTATATGCATAAAGCAGATGAAAGTCTTCACACTGAGGGCTAAAGCTGTTCTTTGCATCCTGAGTGTTTAAACTCTGCTTTCCTGTCAGGCTGGGTTGTATGTCCTAACGCATCAAACGCCTCGCTGCACCTTTTGTCCCACGCTGCGTCCTGGGTTGAGGGTTTGGATCTGAGCAGGGCTGTTACATAACACGGCTGCACGGGGATTAGGGACGGGAATGACTTGTCCAAGCCTACATCATAACCTCCGATCTGGCTGGCCTCTTTGACCGTGGGGATGGATTGCGCATCAGGGCCTCTGCAAGCACTCACACTCAACCTGGAACTCCTGCAGGGTGAGAGGCAAATTGTGGAGTTTTGTCTGTTAACAGAGCAGAATGGAGCTTATAATTAGATGGTGTTGAGAAGAATCAAAAAAAGCATCAGATCCAGCACTTTTCTCCTCTCTCATTATGTGCTTAGCAGCAAATAATGTTTGGATTAAAGCTCCCCTAAATGTCTGCCTCCCACAATGCAGTTCCAGAAGAACATGAGTCCAACGTGTCGGCTCAGGTTGGCGAACGCCTCCCACCATGACTGATCATGCCCCCCTAACCCTGAGAGTTTGTGTCTTTGCATGTAGCGAAGGAAAACAGCATCAGGTTCGGGGTCTGGAGAGGAGGCAAGTGGAGGTGCTGCGAGTGCTGCAAGGTCAGAGTCCTCTTTGGCTGGGGTCATGGTTCGATTCGGGAAAAGAGGGACGGACGTTGACGTTGTTGAACAGTGGACATAGTCTTCACGAAGTGACCAAGGGCACGTTCTAACTGATGGAGTCTTGGATGACTTCCTGGTCGTTTCCCTGGTCTTAAAACTTGCCCGTTTCTCATGTCACAACAGAATCTTTCTCCACATCCGGCAGCATCAGGTGATTCCTCCCTGACGTCAGGTGACTCCAGATCCAAGGGAACTGTTGGAGGTCGGCATCCACCTGCTGGTTGGAAACATGATCACATAGCCCACTGTGGGTACAAGTAAAGCTCACGTTTTCCCAGGCGTTCAACTTTAAGATAAACAGTATAATGTACATGTTTTTAATTTCACCCTACACCAAAAACAAGACCAAAGTTGTAGTAAAGCAAAACTATCCCTCATAACGAGTCATTTAGTTACTTCGGCCATATGTTCCAACCATTTTAGGTGACATTGGAACAAGTATGTAGTGTTTACAATGTCTCGGACCAACCCCTAACAATAACATAACAAAGTTCAGGCTTCGACGATGGAGATGACTCAAGATAAACCCCTTCACGTAACAGCCTTGGCGTTGATCCATCTGGCTATTTTTGGGGCTGGTTTACACAGCTGGTAGAACTTCACAAAGTGAGTAATTGGCCAAAATGGGGGCTTGAAGTTTACATGACATATTCAAAGTAGATTTGTTGACAACAGAGGATTGTTTGCTGGAATATCGCTCCCCTCTGGCTAGCTGAATGTCACCGGTTAAGCATTTTCCACCGGGGTTCTGTTTTGACTACTGCTGGTGCCAATTACTGTAATTATGTTTAATGCAGAATGTCAAACTGCTCTATATTTGTCTATGATTTTCTCGGCGGTGTAACTGGCTCTCGCTCTGCTGCTCCTGAAACATGCCTGCTCATAAGTGGGCTGAAATTTAACCCCTTAAAGGGCCGACGCTCAGCCATAACACAGACTGGAGGAATGCCAGGCGGTCCGGCTCCAACAAAGCACTATCTGCCGTGAGAACTTCCAGATATGCCGTGTTTGTCTTCTCCTTTTTAAGGCGGTGTAATGATGCGTAGAGCACGGGACAACTGTGGAAGTGGAGCATGAGCGGATGAGTCAATCAGGTGTGTTCTCGTTCAGAAATGATTTTAAGTGAGGAACAATTTCACTCACCCGATTAGCTGTCACTATGTGTTTCTACACAATCCGTTGGGCTCCACAGACAGACTTACCTCCAATCTGGGAGTACTGGGAATTTGCAGCACATTTTTTCCGTCCAGACAGTCGAGTCATCCATCAACTCAACATCTGGGGGTGGGGTTCCTGACAGGTAGGCCGCTCCTAAACAATAATGTCTTGTTGTTAAAGGAGGCCAAGATGTTAGTCGTGAGTTATTTGGGGTTGGGGTGTTGGTGATTGTTTCTGGGTGTCTGGTCTGGTTAAAGAAGAAATGTGAAAAATGTGCAGGTGAGTGTGATGACTTGTGTCTGTCTGCTGGACGGACTGTTCATTTGGTATAGTGAGTTCAGTATTTGTGGATTGTTCTGAGGAATGTGACTCTTAATGACTCGAGGTAAACCTCTGTATTAGCTGCTTTTTTATATCTAAACTACTCCTAAGGAAACGCAGCTTGGGAAGCTGAAATGCATACATCCTACTTGACAAGCTATTTGCAAAGCAGCCAATCTAGGAACACTATTTATTGTTGTTGGTGCTGATTGGCTGAAAACTTGGGTATCAAAACTATATGCATTTTCATGGTCCATTCTGGTCCGAGAGTCGGTGTCCTTATACACACTGAAGACGCATCTTGTCCAAATTCAGACAGAGGACAATTCAAATCCAACAGAGTCAGATGCCATATGTTTTAAATTCACCCTAAAATAAAAACACGTTTTTTTGGTTTCCTTTTCTGCATATTAATATCATTTGTAAGTTGTTAAAATATGCTGACTCAAGTCTCTTCTCGTAACCAAAGCTGAGTGAAAACACGCAGGCGTCTTTCCTTCGCCTTGCTTCGTGACTTTCAGGTGCAAACCAGATGAGGCCAAAGCGTTTCTCCTCGTTTCGTTGTCACCAGAGCGACAGGCTGGTCTCGAAGCGCCGCCTCTCTCCGGTGATTCCTGACTGTTCTGAAGGGCCGGCTTTCAAACACGGTTCTTTATTATTCCCGCCAGTTTGCCAAGATTTATCCCATTAAAGTCTGGAATGCCCTCACGTGGGAAAAGGATCGAGTGTGAACACAGTCGACGTCTTTGTCCCGCCTGCTTCACGCGTAGCGGCGTGGAGGATGCCCTGCTTTTTGTTTCCTCTCGGGTTATTTCTGTCCGCACAGAACTGGAAGCTCTGTTCTGTGTAGCGAGTGGGACCGATCTGTCTCTGTTGTGTGTGTTTATTATGTAGGCGCGTGCGTGCATGTGTGTGTGTGTGTGGGCGGGTTTATCCCCAGGATGCCGCTGTTTCAGCTGTTTGGTGGAAGGGAACGGGAAAAGCAACGCCGGAAATCAGGACGAACTGAGCAACACGATTTTGATTTGTGCAAATTTGAGGAGACGCGGATCTGTGGATGTGTGCGTGAGCGGCTGTGTGTGCGCAGAAATGATCCGATTCTCTTGTTTTGTTCAGGGAAAAGCTGGCCGTGGCTCGCCTGCAGAGGGAAGTGGCACGGAGCAAGAGTGAAGGAACAATGGTAAAGTACTTCCTACCTCATTCACACTGACATAATGGCTTTGGGTATTTAAATCACAGACTAATTGTCAACATTTACTGTGGATCTTTTCTGAATCACCCATAGTTAACATTATCCGTTTGCTCCAATATATAGAAGAGTTTAACAACAAGTTTCACCTCAGTGTTTGGCTCATTTAGTCCTGATTGGTTGGAGTTGAGCTGAAGGAGCTCCCCCTCTTCCTCCCTGCCTCAGTTTTTCTCTGAGGCAGGTCAGAAAGTCGCAGCATGTGATGGAGCCACACTCAGCTGATGCTCCCACCGCAGGCTCAGCTGTTTGGCTTCACCCCGGTGACGCCTCTCGTTCTCTTTATAGCAACAGGCCCGCAGGACCAGCACACACATACACACACGCACACCGGGGGAGGGAAGATGAACTCTCAGGATGTTCGGGGTTGGTGTTGGGATTCTCCTGGATGCCTGCAGCTGAATCTGCTGGCTTTCTCGCCCTGCTGTGGACGAGGTCAGCAGCGGAGAGGTTTCGGCCGCAGGGCAGATCGTTTCTGCCGTTAATGCTCAGAGTTAGAAGCGGCGCAAATAACCACACACTCTCTCCCAGGCACAAATCATCCACATGCTGCGTGTTATTGTTTACGTTCGGGAATTTTGAGCATCCACAAAACGCTGGGGGGGCAAAGAGACTGTTCTTTAAGAACCGTTGACTAAATGAAACCTGGAGATGTAGTTGTTATTGATTCAGTGCAGTGCACAACAGCAAAACACTAAAAAACAGGCAAACATTTCTCACACAAAGAACAGAATATTCAGTCCATTTCAGTTTTGATATTTTAGGCTTTATATTTATTTTTCTGTTATCAATAAGTGATGGTCTGAACACAGCTGTGGTTGATTAGCTAATGTAAAAACCTGCTCTACTATTGATCTGTCAGACTTGCTGTTTAGGTCACCGTTTTTATTTTGTAGCTGATCTGAAACACACCGAATTCCACAGCACGACGACACGTCCAGGTTTTCATAGTCAAGCTAGCACAACTGAACTACTTTGCTCTCTCTCTCGCTACTTTTTTTGTGACTTTTACTTGACTTTATTGACTTGTCATACCGTTGACAATTAGTAGCATTGCACTGCGTCGTTTTTTCTTTTATATTTTACAAATACTTTTAAGATTTATGTTGAGAATTTAACAGCTAAAACCAGTGGTAATCACTGTCAGCCAGCAGCTTTTTGCCCTCCAGCACTGCAACATGTCTATCTTCTGGATTGATGCTTCCAGCTATTGTTTTGATGAGATAATATCAGCTGAATTTCTGATTTTTTATTCCTGCCTTGTTCTGGTTTAATTTGCTGAAGCTAAGGGTGACACCTGTGAGTGTCAGTACCCTCTGATTCCGAGGAAACACTCCTCTGAAGTGGACTGGGTGACATGCTAATCGCGAGAATGGGCGCCCGCTCAGGCTGAGTTATCTGTGCCAGACAGGAAGGGGCCGAGGATGGAGGGGAATATCACTAAGCTCCATTTGAAATTAGGATTATCCCAGTTGAATTGCCCTTCGCCGTCTCTCTGCCGTTCCTGGGAGGTTTCAGGGCTTTTCAGCGCTGCCTGGAGGAGATAATTGCCGAAGCGCTGCTGGTGTGAAGTGGGAACTGCTAACCAGAGGAAGACCCCCACTCTGAGCCCACCTTCGGCCCCAATCCCCATCTATTCACGTCCATTAAACCATGTGTGATCAAACTGAGCAGTTCTCCTCCGTTTGAGCTAAAAATCTGTGACAGAGATGTCTTCACAGCTCAGTGCAGCAGACCTGAAGCTTAATGGTGTAAATGACAGATTTATCCAGTGAATGTGTCCTTCTACTGGATCTCCTGATGTTTATTCTACAGGAAGAATAGCTCAGTTGAGCTGTTTAAGCTAGCATTAATACAAAAGATATAGTTCTGAATGTTCAACTGTGCTGGTTTCACTAGAAAAAGATGAAATATTGAAAGTATTTCAAAGGTTTCACCAGCTAATCTGGTCGAAAAATGACCACAGCTTATTGTTTTTTCATATTTTAAGATGTTAGCTTATCATGTTTACTCTCAGGGCAAACATTTCCGAGTTCCAAGTTGAACAAACACAAAGTATGTGAAATTAGGGGAGTTTCAAACCAAACTCGACCTGAAAATCCAATATGGCGACCTCAGGTTTGTTAAGAAAGACTAGGGGCGGAGTCAAACATTACACTCGGTCTCTCCAATTTTTCTTGACTCTTTGAACACAAAATGATCAGATTCCCACATCGTTTCACTCTCATTAATAATTGTGAGTTCATTGTATATTTTCTTCAAACACAGTCAAAAACTTTGCGTTGAAGTGAATGCTAACTCCTTCCCAGAGGTGGCTGTATTTCGTACTTCTACTACACCGCTGATATAATAATCACCAAACAATTGATCAATTGATAGGAAGAACATTTATTTATTGTATGTATAAATAAAATGGAAAAAAAACTGGCATTGTCTTGGATTGCTAATAGCTAGATTCCCACTTAGCTTAGCAGTCCAGCTCAGTTGTGACCACGTATTTTTCGTACCCATTAGCTTCCTAGCTTGTTAGAAAGCTAAGAAGTTAATGTACTAATTTCCAGTTTGATTGTTAACATGGCAGATGCTAACATTACAGACATTAGTGGCTAACAGTTAGACACTAATGTATTGTTTATGCTAATAAATTGTTAATATCTTCTTTCTGCCAGATTAACCTTTGGGCTAACGTAAACAGAAATCTTTGGCTAGCCCAATAGGAAGTCCTTGCTAGCCAACTCTGTCAACAGACCAAGTTCAAACTCAGAGTGCTTAGCATAGGTAAGTAAGTATGTCGAGCTTAAAGCACACCTTTATACCCAGGGTCCATAAGCCCAAGGTAAAGTGATACAGGAACCAACATTGTAGAAATCCTTTAAATAGTTCAAGTAGTTTGTTTAGGCTCCCCCACAAATCCGGCCACACAAGACATATTGTTCATGATGGGGGAAAACAGAGGATTTCGTTCCGAAACAATCCCTCTCTGTCAGTTTTCCAGTCAAGCCCTGTATGGACGGCTTCGCCACGCTGCAGGTTTCCTCTGGAATCCTCCAGGCGTGGCGCGGGGCCGGGCACCTCCCCGTCTCCTGCTCGCCTTTTGATGCCACTCCAAAGTGCAACCCCAGTCCATCGGGGGCAGGATGTAGGGGTTTCCTGAGTCTCCTGAAGGCACGCAGCGAGTCTGGGGGTCGGGGGCGGCCATTTAAGATCACGCCCTGCTGGAAACGCCTGTCTAAACAACACGAGAAAATAAACCAGCCGGCTTTGGGGAAACACTCGGCTTCATTTTTCCTCTGGGTTTGGTGCGGCCGCGCTCGCTCTGACAGACCCGAACGCATGCAGGATGGCTAGAGGCTCTGTTTTTACCTCACCGCCTCTTACTTTATGACACATCAGCGCAAAGCAGTGCATGATTGGAAAGTTAAAGAAAATTGACAGTTTTAAATTTTTCTTTTCAGTTCAAAAATGTCTTTTTGATCTTTAAGGGAAGTTAAATGTTCTTACTGATATTATTCAAGGTTCTTCAAAGGGTTGCAGAAGAGTGTAGGCAGGAAGGATCTCCTGTAGCAGTCTGTATTACAACAAATTTGTAGATGCTTCTGACTGAAGATGCTGTTTTTTTCCGTTTCTATACAAATCCCTTGATTTGTATTTATTTCATGTTTTAAAAATAATCTAATTTTTGCATTTTTAATATGATGAATTGTGTCGCCCACAAATAGTTTAAATTTGCAAGTTTTGGCACCATTGGTTTGTGGTTTAGAACCATTTTACAGGCCAAGTTCTTGATGGTTTGTCACAAACAGCGACTGATATTCTTCTGTGGAAAATAGCCCTGGATTCAATTGGAGAGGGCTTCTTCTCCAGCATACTTTAGGTTTTGAATTGAAGCCAGACAGTTAACTTAATAAGACCAAATTACAGACAATTTTGGCTTCAGAGTAAAATCTCACTCTTTATCAGAGTAAAATGGGCGGAGCACAAATTCATGCTGCACTTAGTTTAATTTCCATTGATCTATTTCTTCCCAAATATGACACAATGAATAGTTTTGAACAAATGCAAAGAAATCCTGGAGAAAATGAAATCAGGACGGATGAACTTTGTTACTGGAGACAGACTTCACAGCAGTTGTTCTTCTTTGGGTCAGTTTAATGAGAAGTCCTCTGGATAAGGGATTAAATGATGTTCTCCTCATCCCAGTTGATGACCACACAAGAAGAGCCACTGATTGATGTTGCTTTAATGAGCTGGCAGACCCAAGGTATGATACGTTATCTGACAGTGATTTATGAGGGTTTGAGACGCAGCTTCAGAGCGGAAATCTTTTGTGCTTCCAGCAGATAAAGAAGCGTTTTGAGGGTTTGAAAGAGGCGCTGGAAGGCTCCGGCCTTCCTCCGGGTTCTGACAGCTGTTTGTTAGAACGCGTGACAGCGTGGAGGTTTGGGGTCTCAGGTGTCGTCTCTGCAGATCGGCCTTATCAGAGCAGGCAGGGGCCGGAGCCGAGACGGGGTCCCCCGGCTCCCAGCGCTTGGTGTATTCACCGGGGGGACAAACGCTGACAGCCGGGCCCAAATCACACCTCAACACCGGGCCTTTCTACCTCCATCTATTGGTTTTCCCTATGAAAGGCTGTGTGTGTGTGGGGGGGATGATAGATGAGCCACTTGTATGGCTTAGCATATTCCTGGGTGCGTGTATTATTGGAATTATTTTCTGCAGCGCCGGAGGCTCTCTGAGCATGCTACCCTCTAATGTAGACATTCTCCATGATAATTGAATTGATGGAGTCCTGTGGGACACAAAGCGCCGACTTTTCACTGAATAAAACACTGTTTAGGCTCAAATCCATTTCAATAGAAAGTCACTTTTACGCTTTTTATTGTGTTCGAAATGAAATGTGATTGGAGAGTGTGAAACTGAGCTTCAGATCCCTTCGTGCAGCGTGATACGGAAGCCCAGAGCTGCAAAACACAACGTAGAAGATAAAAATGAAACAATGAAAATGCCTCATGAAATACTTTAAGTGATTCCATTCAATTAGTATATGAAGCACAAATAAAAACATATGGCTAACAATTGGATACAAACGTTAACATTAAACACAAGCAAGGACAATAAGTAACAGTTTTGGTTCTGTTTGGATTTTCAGACCTATATTTGGGTTCATTGCTTTCACACGGTTCTATTTAATGTCACTCAAACAGGCTCCAATTTATTTCAATGATAAGTCAGTTTTATGCTTTTTACTGTGTTTGATGTTAAATGGATGAGGACAGCAAATCCCAGCTTCAGATCCCAACATTTTAAGCAATATCAAACAATCGTATGGAAGGCCAGAGCTGCAAAACAAACTAAAAACATGTCTTGATGTAAAACACACAATAATTATAGATAATAGCAAAATAAAAAATAAAAAAATACAACAGCAAGGAACAATGTAGAATGCTTTTATTTTGTGATATCGATTTTTATAGATGCTACTCTTATTAAAAACTACTTGGGTCAATAGTCTTTTCAAGAGAAATCAAGTTTTTTACTTTTAATTGTATTTTGGAATGAAATTGTTGGTTTTAGTACGGAAGCTCAAATTTGCCAAACGCTAAAAAAAAGAAATTAGCACAGAAACTCAAAATGCACCATTATTTGAGAAGCAGACAAATATTTTATTATGGGATCAATAGATCCCATAATAACCGGTTTTGAAAGTGAAATGGTTGGCAATATCTCAGTTGTCGGTTTAGCTACGTTAGCTAGTTTTAGCCAAGGACAACTTCTAATTATGTTACAGTTTCTGAATGTAGCACAGACACAGGGTGAGTGTTGTCTTCATGTTTTATTTATGAACGAGGGACCTGCACGCTGCATTGTGTCCCTGATGTTTGCTTTAGTAGCGAGCCCCTGATCTGCTCCCGGCCCTTTGATTAGGCAAAGAGCTCTAGCAGAAGGAGAAAGGGGGGGGGGAAGGTTTCTGTGAAATGAAGAGATTATTGAGCCCCCACCCCACAAACTGCGTCCCAAACCCATGTACAGTTACAGATGGACGTCCTTTGCCAGCAGAGACAGAGTCGGGGCTTGTACAGCCACTTAATATGATAAAGCTGGCCTTTTACAGGAGACGGCATGGCAGGGACAAGCAGACGGAGCTCTAATTAATTTAAAGTCATTGGTGTATCGTGCAGAGGTATCACGGGGCTTTGAGTCTTTTAATGATTCAGCTCGGATGAAAGTCATTACTGTCTAATGTTGACCGAATTAAGGCGAGGTTCACTCCCGGAGGGTTGCAGACGAGACTTCTTACTACCTGTCTGATCTCACAACATGGAGAAACATGGAGAAAACCCAAACGTTTGGATCAGTTGTTTTTTTTCTTCTCGGAATTAGTAGAGTTCATTTAGACCGGTGTGTCTCTGGACATGTGTTTGGGATGATTGTCCTGCTGAAAGACCCAAATATGTACGTGTCCCCTGTCTTCAGGATATTGACTTGTAGATGCTTGCGACACATCCTTCAGTTTGCTTCCTTAGTAGGGCAGTTTAGGTCATCGGTTGGGTTTTACAACTCCATCACAGTCCGGACCACACACTGAATCTTGTTTTGGAGTAGATAAATCAGGCTAATGTCAGGTTTACGCTAAACCTCAACCTCAGCCCCATTGAACATGAAAGCCTCTTTGGGGCAAGGCAACCAACCAGACCCACACGGACTCCTTCAAAACTCGGTCTTCCCTTTGGACGCCGATCCTGTCGATTCAGCGCCTGCTAGTTTCTGATCTTGTCAGGGGAACGTTTTTTTTTAGCGTCTTTGGTGGGTTGAGTTCAACCGTCACTCTGGTTGAATTTTCATGCAATAAAAGAAGCTGACGTTGGCGAAGCGCACCAGAAGCGGCTCCAAACCCCGAGGCCTTGCGTCACGTTTCATCTGGCCCTGCCTGCGTGGGTACGTTTCTGCGTCAGGCAGAAAAAATGAAGCTGCTCTCCACGGTGACAGAGGTCACGTTCAATCCTGAAATCCCAGCTCGTTTCAGATATATGGCTCAGCATTCCAGTCCATTTGAAAGATTACCCTCTCTCACTCCCTCTGTTCCATTCGCTTTTCCTAGCAAGTGTACAGCGTTGTTTAAAGGGACAAAGTGAGGTTTTATCACAGGACTGCATTGCCCTCTGCAGGGCAAACCTGGCATGACACCTGGCCATCTTGATGTCAGCCAGTTAAACAGAGGATTATCTTCCTCAGTGGTTGGATCAAGTAAATAAATGTTCCCACGGGGAGTTTCCAGGCTTGATTTGAGCTGATTCCCTCCTCATGGCCACGCTGCTTCTCGCAGAATGTGCTTCCAATTAGCGACAGCAGCAGCAACAAACCAGTTCAACAAGAAAAACTGGCTACATAAAGATACAGTAATGCTTGACTTAATGAGTTTTGGCCTTGTAAAGTCGCTGAAATTATCCATATTGACCACAAAAGGCAGCGGCAGGGTTTTACTGCAGACGCTGACTGTTAATCGCGAGGTTGTTGGCGAGCGACGGGTTGGCGGTTCCTGCCTCGGGCGCTCGAGAATGAAGCTTCTGTGCAGAACAATACCTCGTCTAATGAAAGCATGCTTCGCATTTTTACCTCCTATTAAACCCATTTTCCATACCAGAACATGTTTGCACTTTATTACCAGCACAAATAAAGCAAGTTTCTGGGTTGAAACAAAAGGAGGAGAGTGGCTGGTTTCTGCTGCTGGCAGGGGGAGGGAAGACTTTATGCTTCGGTTTGGCTGAATTTATGGTGACCATTAGTGCCCCCCTTCTCCACCCTATTAGCCCCCTCACCCCTCCCCGCCACCCCAACAGGAGGAAACCCACTGTTGAGTAAAAACTCAGCCGCTCGTTGGGCCCATAAATTTATGAGCAGAGCGAGAAGCAGTCGAGCTTTTAAAGGTGACGCGGGTTTAATATCCTCTCCCTGACTGCTGACAGCTGCTGCTTCTGACAAAAGCACACCGAATGAAAGACAGCTCCCGATTGGCCGGTTAGCACCACCTACAACTCGCAGCAATCCTTGAGTATTCGTTTCATCGCAGCAGAACAGTTGCAAGCCATTGATTCTCATTGTTCAGCTGCTGTGCTTATTTCAGCCACTAGGTGTCCTCATAATTCTTTTCATATAAGTGATTCTGCAGCCTCTCTATTCTGCAGCCCTATATGCAGCTCCAGCTAAACTCTCTGGGCTTTTGACCGGTTTAGTGACTTTATGAGGATTTATTTAAGATGATATTCCTGGCAGGACTTCTCCAGATAGTCAATAAATGTCCAGCTATGAAACGGGCAGCCAGCTTGCAGCAGACGAGGCCAGGGAGCCTGAGAAACATTTCTCTCTCATTTGCTCCATCAGCTAGAATTACGTCCACCAAGATCGCGGGAAAGAGTCCAGGATTGGTCGCCAGAGGGTTTCTCTTCTCAGATTCTGTGGATAAACTCATAAATGGGGTGAAAATGAAATAAAAAAAACCCTGAAAACTGGACTTTTACTGGCTTTAATTTAGCACCTTCGCTCAATCTGTTTGCTTATTTTACATTGCATCAGTGGTGAGGTTTGTGTTTCTTCATAAACAGGACTCGCTGTTAGTGTCACGACACTTTTTTCCCCCTAAGTGATAAGTTGTCTCTGAAGTTGTTGTGATAAACTGCAATTGTTGTTTCAACATCATTTTCCTGTATTGTAATGGTAACGCGAGAGCGCATTCTGAAAGATCAATACACTGTCAATTTAACACTGGAGCTGGAAGACATTTTAAATATCCAAAATCAAAACAGAAAGCAACAAATTAAATGGATTATGAAGTGTCTGTAAACAAAATGTACTTGTGACGTGCCCCCGGGCAAGGCACTCAACTCCAAACTGCCTAACGATGTGCACATCGTCGCAGAAACGGTCAGAATGTTTGGAAGAGGGCGATATAAGTTCAATCCATTTACCGTCCGATCGCCATCCTGTCTGTCCACAGCGAGAAAAGCTGATCCACGAGCTAGAGGAAGAGCGCCGCCTGCGACTGGAGAGCGAGAAGCGCCTGCGGGAAGTGACGGAGGAGTCGGAGGTGGGCCGGGCGCAGATGGTCTCGCTGCAGCAGCAGTTCTCCAGGTACAATCCAGCTTCCTCTCTGCTCCTTCCGACTCTAAATTACAAATAATTTAGAGTCGGTTTTGAATCTAGCTGCTTCAAAACATTGTTTTTGTCCATTTCTGTCTAAGAAATTTGCCGTGAATATTCCTTCAATTCCACTTTTCCTTCTGCTGCTGTTATATTCCTACCGGAGCCTGAAGAACTCGTCGGTTTCGCTTGGCCCCCTTTAAAGCCAGGTGTTGCTCCAACCCTTTCGTGACCTCAACTCCGTGGCCGTCCTCTGCCGCGGCGCTGCTGGCGAATCAAGAGTCAGACGCAATAATTAAGAGATAGGCATGCACCGCTGTACTTGCGCAGGATTTCACATTGGCTGCTTATCTTCTCATTAAGTCGGCTGGAAAAATTCTGTAAATTTTAATGGTCCCGGCGTTCGCTGCCGGGAGACAGATGAAATATTTAGGAGCCATTAGAAAAGACGCGTCACGTGTTTGATGGCGCTGCGTTGGGCCGGTTGCTCCGCAGGCTTTCATCGCCGGCGTTTCCAGTCGATTCTCCGGGGAGCGGGCCCGTTTCGTTTCGCAGCGTGATCCTTTTATGAGCTGTTCCCAGCCGCTCCAGCAATTCATTCTCAGGTGGATAAATCATCACTGAGCTGCCGTCTCAACTTGTTTTTGTGTTTCTAACACAGCTCGCTGCACCTTGTCTCCAACCTCCACTTTGGTCTGGTTGATTTCTATCAGACGAGACTCCCTGTCTGATCGCGTGGAGTTTCTGTGGTTTTCTGCCAAGAAAATGCAATAAAAACAGAATCCCTCATCTCCAAAAGTGAGAGGTCGAATTAGCGGATAAGAGATAGTGAACCATCTCCATGATTTGGTCTTCCTCAGGTCCTCCATGAGACAGATAAATCTAGTCTCATTGGGCCTTGTATGGTTCGCTGATTTCGCAGACTAGACATTTTATGAAATGTCCGGACAGGACAGCCTGTCTGGATCTTTTTCTCTTAAGCAGCGCTGATTATTTACTTGATAGAACACAAGAATACGAAGTGATGGAAACAACAATTCAGTTCATTTTATTTGTATATCGCCAACAAGTGGTGAGCACTGCTAACTAAAAAGCAAGCTGTGCTTGACATGTAACTAATTTCACAATATTTTCTTGCCGTAAGAAGCTATACACCAAGAAAGTCTTGGACAAAAAACATAGAGGAAGGAGGGATGACTCAAGACTTCTGCACAGTACTCTCCGAACTGATATAAGTCAAACAACGGTTAATTGCATCCCTTCGACATAATATATGTTCTGATCAATTCAGGGCGTGTTATTTGTTGTGCATTAGAGGGAATGGAAACGTCATTCCGTCAATGTGTCTTTAAAACATCCCCGCAAATCACAACATTCAGACATCCAATCTCTTAAGCAGAGCGGGATCTGTTTGACCTCTGGGCAACAATTGATTTGAGTATTGCTAATTAATTGGTGGTAGTGCTTTGAATGATGACGAATTAGGCCACATGGTTGATGGCAAAAGCCCTTCAAATTGTTCCAGAGTTCTTACGCAGTCTTGGAAAGAAATTGAATAATGTCAAATTTAAGCGTTTTTTGTGAGTATTTATTTCTTTTGTTTCCATACTTTATTCTCTGAATTTGAATAGCTGAACTCCTTAAAAAAGAGTCAAGTTTAAAAGATGTTAAGATTTCCCACATCTAAAAATACCTTTCCTCTGTCACAGTTCAGACCAAAACATTTTTTACACAAACCACTTTGTCTTAGACATAGGTGTACACTCATGACATCGAATCCTTACATGCCCTCCCCCAACCAGTTGGGTTCTTATTCTGTTGTGGGTCACATGCCCAGCCCCTCCTGACTTTGGTCAATCCCTCTAAGGCTTTCCCCACTGCTTGCAAGTCCATGCTGTTGTTAAACTCCAATGGATTAGAGGAAGACTCAGCAGCCAGCGAGGGCGCACCCTAAACGCCCCACAACCCAGACATTCAAGAGCCAGAACAGGGCAGGGGAGACTGAAATATGGGGACAGAGCTCCATCCTTCAGCAGATAATGACATTAGATGAATTTAAGCGAATTTAAAAGAAATAAATCAGCCGAGCGCATTTGGATGTCCTTTCTTGCTGTGACGGTTAATTACCTTAATTCATCTTTCTGGACTCACTTAAAGGATGACCAATGAGAATTCAAGCACTAGCGGGCCTATGGAGGTCCTGGTTCTGGCCTGAGGATGAGAGAGGCAACTCTGAGGTAATGAAAACTTTGACGGTCAAGAGAACTAATTGTTTTGGTCTTTCTTGATGCGTTTGCTGCATCTTCTATGTTTAACCTAGTAGAAACTCTGTTTCTACTAGGTTAGAAACAGAGTTTGTAAGCTTTTGCTACCTGTAGGTGCAATAAGGTACCTTCTAAAATGCTCCTAAAGAGAAAAGTTTGATTCTTTCTTTAGGACATTCAGTGTCTAAAGAATTAAAAACTACGCAAAATTTGGAGACAAGAGCACAACGTTTAGCAGATGAGAACATTAAATGGCTTGAAGAGAAACATTGAAACATTTTTTGGTCTTTAGCATCTTGTGGGATGCTAAAACAGGATAAGCCACTAGGTATCCTGTTTCTGGCCTACTGATGAGATGAGCAACTTTAAGACAATGACAACAGGCAAATTTTTCATGCCATAATTGCAGTTTTCTAGGTAGAAAGAAGTCTCCTCTAATGACCCTAAAACTGTCTGTAAGACCTGAAGGTATGGAAAGTGAAGAGTGAATAGATCCCTCTTGACTCTTTGCTTTGCCTCAAGTTAGAGATATTGAGAGCCAGAACACATGCTTGTACATTGTCAAAGCAACGGCCTTTAAAGGCGAAACGCTCAGCTTGACGTTGAATGATTACCGTCTTGAAGGGCCCTCTTCTCGGCAGGATATGGGAGACTTACGGCCAGACTAACATCGGGCGCAGACGATGACGGCTGCCTGCAGATTTATGCTCCCAGTTTTCCTTTTGTAGAATACTCGGTGTGTGTGGAACGCCGGCACGGATGATGCAAACAGACGGGAATTGTTTTCCAAGTCTTGACGTGTTGTTTGGACAGTCATGCTCAGGTTGGTCCCTCCTCGGTCCGCGCCGTGTAGTTCGGGAGGTGTGCACTGTACGCATTCATGTGCTTCTCTCATCATCATCTGGTCGGACTGAAGCGCTTTCAAATAGTGAGCTTTTTTCTTTTTTTTTTTTTGCTGAAGTCCAATCACCCAACCATCCATTCAAATCTTATCAAAGAGTTTTAATTCATCTGGGGTCGTTAACAGGAAACAGAAGTCTGTCTTTTGAAGTCACTTCCTCATGGAAGCAGAGCTGATAAATAGATCACAGGTGACTGGGGGATTTTTGGGAAAACCTCGTGTTTGGCCATTTTAGACAGGTTTTCACCTCGATTTTGAGCCAGGAATTAACCTCTTATCAAACTTGAAAGCGCTTTAACATCAATCCCTACATTTTACTTTGAGAGCAATGACATTTAGTTGCGCCATTGACACTTGCTCAAGCGCTCCAACTTCCGCCTGGGATTAAGCACACTGGATGTGATGTTTGCAAGGCTGCTATCAGAGCTCAGATTACAAGCTTCTGTGGAAGTAGGGCATCCAGCCGCACACCAGGGCAACTTGCCTGTTTCATCAAGCTTATATAACTAACTGGTGCTCACAGATTGTTGCCTGAAGCAGAAAAAATGTGTTACTGACCTAATGGTCATCATAGATTTGCTTTTACTAACAGATGCTCAGGTTGGAACATATAGAGCAGTTCTTACTGAGCTCCACTGCATCAGCAGAGTAATACTCCACTGGCGTTGTTTGAAAGCTACAGAAAATACTGAGTTTGCGTTTAGTAATTCAAGGGTCACTTTAACAATGAATGGAGTCCGGAAAATTTCTTCTGTATGGTCTCTCAAGATCTCCCAAGTTTTTTTACCTGACTTTTGCATTTGCAGTTCTTCTGGTACAAGCATTAGTTTATACTTTTAGCCATTCTCAAGAATTTTACAAACTAAGAAAAGATTTCAAAACGGCTATCTTAACAGTCAGGTTTTGGGTCCTTTATAATAATTTGTTTTGTCTATTAGGCCTGCCTCTTTTTCCTGGACAGTAATATTTCCATTATGTTTTCAATGGCTAAGGAAGTAGGACTAGGCTAACAAACCTTGTTAGCATGTTAGAATAGTGCAAGTTTTGTTAACGCTCTTCTTTCTCATCCCAAAGATTATCAGAAGCCCAAGTCTTGGCGCCCCCTGGAGTCAAGCTGGTGTACTTTCATGAAACTGAGCTAACACTGGAAGGCCAACGCTCTTGCAACGTTGCCATCATCTTACAAATGTTGTTAGAATTTGGATGCAAAGACTCGAGTCGTAGTGATGCATGTTTTTGATCTGGATTTTGAATGTTGTTAGAAAGCTGCAGCCTTCATGGGCCTGTAGGGGATTTGATCACAGTCGTACTGGGTTTTATCAAGTTCCTTCTGCAATTCACAACTAATTATTTGGTTGAGAGTTGCAGATTGACTGTTGGTGTTAATGCCAAGATCCAAATACAGAAAAGAAAACGAATCACAAAGCTATGTCTGACTATCTTAATACCTCATGCTTGGATCTAACCATAATCACCAGCCCTGCTCCCTGTCTTGACCCTGCTTTGAAAACCAAGTGTTGGGCTCCTGCTGTCACCGTGAGTCAGGTTCCTCCCTAGGAAGGCTGTATATCTTTCTCCCATGTGGTACGCACATGGCTGATGGAAAACTTTACGGGATGCTTCTGAGGACCAAAACGCTTCCTTGCCTCTCTAATGGCTTCCTTTAGCCATAGGTTGAAATCTGACTACTGTAAGTCTCCCCAAATGCTGGAGTCTCTCCATAGTTATTTTGAGAGGAATGTGACATAAAAGAGGTGATTTCATTATGTTCACTTGAACTTTCTGCATGGTATTGTTAAGAAATATGGCTGTCAGAGCATGCTGTT